CTGAAATTTTTTGTTAAAGTGAATTTTTGTTTCATCCAAAAATTACCCAAAATAAGTGAATTTCTTTTTTTTCACAGTGACTGCCCATTAAATGGCATAAATAAATCGAAACATATTTATGATTTTACGGCCTGAAAGATACGAAAACAGTAGTAATAACTACCAAGCACACATGCAAACATACATACGCTTTTTATACGGAAAACCTTTACGCCACTTGAGTTCACTGCAACCTCTCTGTCATTTATCCTTTCCAGCAGCAGCGACACTCAAATCACAATTGGCGCTGCAAAAAGAGCACAGCCATTAACTATCAACTTTTTTCGCTTTTCTGCTTCCACAAACTCCTCTGCTTGCGTCATGCTGAACGCGTTAGGGACTCGCAAAAATTTACATGAACTACCTGGCAGGCTGTCTGTTGCTGTTTGTCGCGAACGCTGACAGCCTCATCAATAGCTACAGTCACAATGCCACTCATAACGACTTGAATGCTGACAGACTGCTGACGCCTGTCGTGCGGTGTTCGTACTGATATCGGTCTACTTTTATGCGACGAATCTGGTGACTTTCGCACTTTAATTTATACATATGTATATATATATATGCATGGGTGTCATGTGAATGTTAGCTTGCCTATGGAATGTCATGTAAATTCACTGAAGCAAAAATATAATTTCCCTGGCGCCAGGCTGTGAGCAAAAGTCACCTATGGTAGCGCAAATTAAGTTGAACAAAGAGCATCGAAAAAGCGTTGTGTAACGGTATAATGTGAGCAAAGATTGCTTTTCATAGTAATGTGCGCCAATATGACGGAAAAGAAGATTGAGAATACGAATGGAAAGGTGCACAAGTACCTTTATATATACATATGTGTGTGTGTTTTAAAGTGCGCGCCAGTCCCTTTATTGTGAGTTCGTTTATTTTGCACATGTATGTACATTTGTATGTACATAAATATATACACGCTGGTTTTTAAACGTCTCCTTTGCCTCACATTGTTTTGTTATTGAATTGATATCGGTCTACCGGGGCGTATGAGTGCGTTTATGACTGCGTTGTTGCACGCGCCGCTAAGAGCGATTTAAAAGATTTAAAAACCCCAAAGTACTTGCATATGTTAAAAGCTACATTAGTATGCTTAAGAGCTTAAATATAAAGCCTTATTATCAACCTTTTTTTAATTAAAAGTAAACACTCTGTCACGAGACAGAAGGAGGAGAAGTTCAATATTTACCTGGGTGCACTGAAGATGATTTGCGGACACCTCTGGTCATCGTTTTCCAACTTTCTTTAGTAAATGACCATTGAATATTATAGACCTAGCCAAACTTCACTTAAAAAAATATAGCATAGAAGCAGGACCGACAATATTATAATAGTATCTAATAATAATAATTTGGCGCACATAATTTTTCTAAGTGTTTGGCCGGGTTTTTTTCCGATTTTTGGAAAATAGGGGCTATTGGAAAAAGGGCTGGCACCTTCCATATAAACCGATTTTGTCATACTGTATAACTCTGCAAGTGTTCGTGGTAGAGTACTGGAACTTGGTATAGATATACTACATATCGTCACCTGAGTGGAAGATCGACCTATCTCGGCAGCCAGTTCGAAAACGCCCCATCTCAGAAAATTTTTTGAGAGCGCCCTACTTCCGAATTTGACTGAAGAACGCCCCATTTCAGAATTTTATTGAAAAACATTCTATATCAGAATTTGGTTGAAGAATGCCTTAACTCCGCTGAAAGTACATTGAAAATGTGCTGAGGTAGCATGATTCAATAATAAAAGGCTTACTCATAAAACAGTTTTCTCACTCCCTCTTGACAAAATCGGCTCCCTTAATAAGGCACAGTGTGTAGGTTCGTGTGTATATGCCACGATTTTTTAAGTGAATTAAGGTAGTGGCGAAACTCTAATCATGCTAAGGTGGGGCATTTTTGAATCAGCAGGTAAGGTAGGGCATTCGAACTAATTCTGAGATAGGGCGTTCTTGAACAGTTTTCTGAAATTGGGCGTTTTCGAACTAGCTGTCGAGATAGGTCGATCTTCATTAAAGTCCTTGGTTGTATGTAAGCAAAGATTTAATATACCTATTTCCAGAAAACGTATACATACATATGTACATACGTTGGGTTTGAAGAAAAGTTTTCGAGCGGGAAAAAATGTGACAATATTCTAAAGTTACATAAATACAGATTGCTTAGATTGTTAAACCACTCAACAATTTTCCACTCAGGTTTCGATATGAAATGAATCCCATACAAGTAGCGAAAATTGGGTCTGTTTGAAAAGGGGAGACGGGCGCCTTCTTTTTATGAATATATATTTCTCCTGTACGTGTGTTTGTGACTGAACCGATTTTAACGAGATTTATTCGAGATACATATGGGTGTTTCCATACAGCCGTACGCGACATTCGTACGCTTATAGAGTAACGTAAATCTATCAAAAATAGAAGTTACAGAAAAAAAAGATTACGGTTATGTTGCAACCAAAGGGTACTATGTTTGAGAAAAAAATAAGCAGCCTCGAAACTTTGGTGTGGAAAATATCCGTTCAAAACCAGGTGATAACGTACGCGACAAGAAAAGAAGTGGTTTTAAGGCACATATACATATATGCGAAAGTCTGCGAATCATGAGAGTTTTTCTTTTCTTTAAAAATTCCTAAACTAAGCTAAATAATGTACCTTTACAATCCTTCCATTTTTTGATAGAAACTATCTCTGGTTAGTTTTTATTAAAAACAATATAATAACGTACGCGACATAACGTACGCGACAGATTTTTCCCCCATACAATATTTTTACTAGTAACACATACTACATTAAATTTTTTCAGTTCTTCTCTCCACCGTTTCGCGCTTTCAAAACCTTTTTCCGCCATCTTAATACGAAATTTAAAGTTATAAAGCCGTTTGAATTCATTTGCTTGCATTTTCGGTTTACATTTTCATGGAAACACGCATATATGCGAAAGTCTAATCATGGGAGTTTTTCTTTTCTTTAAATATTCCTAAACTAAGCTAAATAATGTACCTTTACAATCCTTTCATATTTTAAGAGAGGCTAGTTTTATATTAAAAAAAACAATAACGTACGCGATATAACGCACGCGACAATTTTTCTCGTAAGTAATAAAATGTATTTATTGAGAACTCTTCCCGCCACCATTTCATTGTTTTACAACAATTTAAATGGGGAATTTGCAATTAACATTGGTTTTGATGTATTTGACAATAACTTATGCGACAAACTTTAAAGGGTAATAAAATTTGTTTTACTTCGGTTGGAAATAAAATTTTACTGTATATCTTTAACTGGAAGAATTCTCGCTTAAGAATTGTAATCTACATTACCTGCGACTGCCAATATACAAATGACATAGACAAACAATGTTTTTGCATAACGTACGCGACATCAGAAGCAAATCAAAAAAAATACCGTTATTCGAGCTCTAACTTCTCCTTTTTCTCATTTTTATAGTTAGTTGTAATTGCAAATTTGATTTAAAGATGTAATTGTAATGTTTCAAATCTCTTAATTTAGTAAATAGGAAAGAGAAAATAGTTCATTTCATTTCGAAGAGACACTCAGTTATACGCTTCAATTTTTGAGTTTTAAAATTGCAATAAGCTGAAATACTTCTATAGTATAAATATTCGAGTATTTTACTCTTATTAATTCGTCTTAAAAACCCTTTTCAGTTGTATTTATTTTTTCAGTCCTGGTTGACATTTTCATGGAAACACCCATATGTATTGGTAACGGTAAGGGCAGTACTATTACAATAAAGAGCCGCCGTGTAGCGATAGAGTCGAGTTATTAATAAAAATAGTCAAGTGATTAAGTTTAAATTTTCGAAAAATCAAGATCATTAGCCAGGCTTTTAAAATAGTTAAAATTGCACTACTAGGATTTATAAAAGAACTCTCTTCCAAGTAATTTTACCCATCTATGTATATGACTTTAAATTCTGAGCACCCGGACCCCGTACAGAACCATCCAAAAGTTACCCCTTCTGTGAAATATAATACCCCCATTAATCCTGGTATGCCAGCAACTCTTTACATAGTCAACGCACGACTGTGGACCTTCCACAGTAAACTACCTTTCTAACATAGCGTGCGATGCATGTATTTTTTTTTTGTAGTTAAATATTATTACAATTTTCATAATCCTATGTCTAGTTTAATGTTAAATAATGTGTTTGGATATATTTATTTGGGCGGGCCTTGTCGGCAATCGGCTTCATAATGACCTCAATCCGGTGATTATGATGAACAATGTCTCGGAATCGTGTCGGAGGCTATCCTAATAGATTCTAGACATTCCATTACTAGATCACACGAACGCTTCGGTGGTTAGGTCAACCCAGATTAAAATGTTGCATCAATGAAAACAGCACAAGTCCCTATCAATATTGTCGGGCGTCCAAGGGTTAAAGATCTTGATCTTGAACTTCTGCTGGATATTCTTCCCTATACTTTCAAAAACATCCTTAATTAACCCATTTCATAATATTTTGAATTTGTTTTTCGAATTTATTTAGAAAATGCATTGTAGGCATATATGTAATACTTCTATATTGGCAGTAAGCTAACTTCTCAATGTTTAGGCATTCCGAAATCAAAGCGAGACAGTCTAGTACCGGTTTTGTCAATGTATTGTGTACTTGAGTGCCGTTTTTGTATATGTGTTGTGTACATGTATATTTATAAACTTATGTGTTTCTTTTCTTTCGTACGTGTTTATTGATATATCTGTACTGTAGTGTTTTCGGACGGTACTAGCTCTTACTGCCAATATAGGAGTATTACATATATGATTGTAGGTACTCATTTCCCTTTTGTCGATGGCTTATTTTAAAATAGCATTAAAATTCAAACTTCCTCAAATGTTAGCCCAAATTAAAAGTAAATTTATATACTACGTCATGAAATTGCCTTTCAAACCTCCCTCTTTCAACGCTCCACTTGTTTCTCGCATTTTTCGCTAATTACTTGCACATACCACAGTTCGTCACGGCTATATCACGTTGTGGCTTCCCGCTATTAGTACCGTAGTCCTGCACGGTGTCGAGTATCCAAAAGCCACGGCGCACGCGACCAAATGCAATACGCTTTCCATTTAGCAGCTTCAGCGGCTTAAAACTAATCGAAAAGCTGAGAAAACGCCGCTTGCTGCCTCGTACATATCGGCTGGGAAACGAAAGCACACCCGCTCCACTGCCATGATCCAGCACATTCATGTCATGCTCGATGTTGTGCGCCGTTAGCGTCTTTTTGTCGGTCAGCGCCAGTTCACCCTCCAACCACAGCATTGGAAATAGACGCGTAAAGCGCATGCGCTCACCACCCTCCATAGTGCACATGCGCACGAATTCCAGCACCACCTCAGGGCAGGCCTCCGTAAATAGCTGTATAACGATTCGACCGAGCGGCCTTATGCCTTTCACCTCCAGATCGAAAAAGACGCGCGGGCGTAGTAGACGACGCAGCATTGACTCGTCGGTGCTGACAGTAATAGCCTGATAATGCTTCAGCACATGCGGTGGGATACCTCTACGTGAGCCATCGTCTTGCATGGCGCTGGAAGCACGTTTATATGCTGGACTGCTGCCGTTATCTTGCGGTTCTTCAGGCAAACCCGAATGCTGCGCACTGCGCTTGCTTTGGTTCTTTGATGTTTCCGAAGAGCAGCGCTTGGGTTTTGGCGTAGGTATACGCGTGTCATCATTCCACTCTTTGCGTTTGATGCGGTGCCAGAATGAGCGCAAGGGCATTGAGAGACGTGCATGCTGATAGGCAGCGCGTTGCTCAGCAGTATTTGGCTGCGGCGCGACTTTTTTGTTATTTTCTGAACTATTTCGCGACGCGGGCTCAACGTTGTTTGTGTTGATGGAAGGAGCAAATCCGATATTGCTATTAAAGCCCACATTGTCGTGAAATGTTGGCATGCTGCTACACGAAACTCGGCATTTATCGCCGTCACCCTTATTGGCGCTAAGCTTGCGTTTTAACTTTTCGTGCATATGCGCGCAGGTGACCATGCAGTGCCGTCGATCGCCAGCGCCACCACACGTGCCACAGCAACCAATCAATCCACACGAGTTGCAGTCGTAGAGCAGCATCGCCGATTTGTCGTGGCTTACGTTGGTCAGCGCATTGCTATTCGTTGACTTGATGTGCGATTTGGCGGGCCGTCGTGGTGATGTGTTGGAGGCAGTTGTGGCCACAGTCCAGATGGTGCCCGTGGCCGATGGTGTCGTCGAGGCCGGCGCATTGGTGAAGGTGCGCTTGTTGCTGCTGCATTGAATGGCTGTGCGCACTGAGTTCATCATCTCGGTAAAACTCATTTCGCGTCGTGGCTGATTCACAACACGGCTTGGTGGTTGGCTGTTCACCACACTCTTGGCATTTTGCACGCGCAGCCGATGTGCCATATACTCATGCCGGCGTTCACGGGTGTTCGATGTGCGCATTCTGCTCTTAACCAAATTGATGCACTCTAAACTCTGAGTAATACTGGATGGAACATTCTGCAGATGACGCGCGCTGCGTGTGGCTGATTTTCTAAATGAATTAATGCTGATTGGTTTACTGCAAAATGCGTTTGGTACAAGAAAATTTCACTTTTTTCCAAAAGAGGCCAAATATTTAACAGAATTTTAATTGAGAATTGATTAAAATTTTTGTTTGTTTGTTTTAGCTGGAATTCAAATATCTTTTGAATAAAATTTATATTAAAGAAAACAACAAAAAAAAAATCTGACAGGTTGGCAGGGAAGTGAATAAAATATTGAAATGTTTTGGGAATTTTTAAATAAAAAACTGACTGACAAACTATACTGGAGATTGTGGGGGCTAGAACTCTTACAATGCAGGGTTGCATTTAAAAATGTGAAAAACTTAAAAAATATCTAAATTTTTGAAAGCAGCCAGCAGGAATTTTATGAGAAGTCTTGTCCAAGCAGGAATTCATTCATTCATTATTTAAAAAAAAAAAAAAACTTTTTTGGATGTTGCGCGGACTAGACATCAAACCCTGGACCTACCAAATGGTAGTGCGCACCTTTAGTAACTCGACAACGACAGCCACCAGAAAAAATTAAGCAGTCTCAGCTGCTAAAGCATTTTACTGCTTCCTCATTACCACCGGTGGTGATTGAGAGTGGCAACAGCTAGAAAATATATTCGAGAATTTCTGTACTGTTAACATTCCTTCATAGGCCGGCCTCAAGTTTAGAATCGACAACGCGTTCCAATTCTGGTTTAGTTCTGCCTGAGAACAAAATTTAGTGTCAAAAACGTTCCCACAAAAAAAAAACTGGGACAAAAGTATAGCAGTCAGTTTTCAGGGGGAAAAATGAGAACAAAATAACTGGGAACGTTTCTGTAAAGAACAAAATGCGAACAAATATCTCGGAAAATGTTCTTAAAAGTACAAAATTAGAACGAAATTTTCGGGAACCTTTCCAAAGAGAACAAAATAAGACCGAAATTATAGAAAACGTTTTCAGGAAGAATTAAATACGAACCAAAGTCTGGAGACAGTATTGCTGGAGAACAAAACGAGTACAAAAGTTTTGAGAAACTAGCGTTAAAAATGAGAAGGGTCTGCGTGTTGGGATGAAAAATCGTTTCAATGAGAACCACGATTGGTAATTCTAAGCCAGAGGAAAGCTGGATTATTTCAACTTTCAGATCGTTAATCATTAGGGTGAGTGGTCCTTTTTGGAACAATGTTTCAATTTTCTGTTTAAGAAAAGGTCGTGTATTAAGTTCGTTGACTTATATGTACACTTATTTGATTAATTTTAAGATTTAAACTTTGCAAGCTAATGGAACGCTATGACAAAAATTTTGTGCTTCTAGAATGTTCAGAGGCGATTTTTTCCGTTTCATTCTCTGTCAGAAAGTTCCTCAGACTTTAGTTCCCAAATTGTTCTTCGAGAGAAAGTTCCTTAGAATTCTGTCCTCATGTCATGGCCTGCCCACGGCGTCATCCCATGTCAATATTAGATTGGAGACTGGTATCTTCGGCGTTCTACCATCTTCAGTGTAATTTTTCATATCTGAGTGGTATTTTGTTCCCTAGCTATTCGATAATTTACTCACTGAGAGAGGAAGACCAAGAGGACTTTAATAACACAAAATATTTTCAATCAAAAAATGTTTGGGTGGCCGCTGTGGTCAATGGTAACCATCAGTTATAACCTCCGTATGGTAGCAAGTTATGCAGATCCCCTACGGCTTATAGCACTCTTGCTTGTTCCGTAGTTTGGAGGCCATCAACTTAATATTTTAGGAATTTCAACAAAAATTGACACTTGAGAACCTAAACCTCTTCAGTTTGATACTATATTGCAATATTTACGTTATCAACCAATTTGCTTAAACTTATATTTTCAAATAGGTGGCAACTCCCAGATTTTTTATATTTTTTCCATATTTTAAGTCAGACATCATGCATCAGTTTTCGAGTGACGCGCGTACAAACATACAAACAGACAGACAGAGAAACGGACAAAAATTCTAAGCATTGTTGATTAGGTTCTGTTGGTTTTTTAGACTTTTTTATTCAACTTTACATTGCGAATGTGGTCACTTCGAAAGCTTTGACTCGCATGTAATGATTTTGCAAGAAAATCTAGTAGCCAGTATTTTTTTTTTTTTTGCTAAGTCCTAAATGTGTCACCAGCCCTTACCTAGATGTAAGCCAATTTCTATGTAAAAGTTCAAGGCTGTGAGACCGACAACCTAATTTTCTATCATAAAACGAGGTAAACTTATGCGAGGGAAATCTTAATTAATAAATAAAACTCACACACGGCGAAAAGCGCCGACCCTTTTGAGCATCTTATGAAGCCTGGTGTTTTGCTTACAGTGCTGAAGTGCCTATTTCACTGCAATTTGGCTACTTTTATCATAGCCATGGGTGAAAACAAATTTTTGGTTTAACATATCTTTATACACACCTTTTCCATATTAATTTCAATACATAGAGAAATCTTGTTCTATTCAATTAACTAATTTCTAGCCCATTACATAAGCAGCCTCTAAGCTTTCAAGCATTTTATAGACGAACAACTTTTAAATTAATTATATAACGATGTCTGCACGAAAGTTACCCTCAACCCGTCCACACACTCTTGCAGCTTTGGCAACTTTTTTCAATTTACAAGTAAGTTTGCGACATAACTAGTTATTTGCATTGACTGAGCTTCTAATTAAATTTGCGTGTAACCCGCGAAATAGCAGCAAAATAGTGTACAACGTTAACTGGCGAAAAAGGTGATTTGCCCCATGGCGCATATACTCCGATACATATGAATGATAATTCATTGAATTAAGAGGGTGGAGGGAAATGTGTGCTGATACATACAAGTTGGAAAGTGCAGCTGTTTTCAGCAAATACGTTTAGCCACTTGAAGTAATAAAAACTCAGAAATGAGGGTAAACAAGTACACGTATCTAACGCATTATGGTTGGAGGTGGACGTAGGGAGGGCAACAAAATACGAAATACATACGCTGAAGTGTGTACTGCCAATGAAGCGGCAACTCGTTTGAGCACCACAAGAGTGTGAGCAAACTATGTTACTAACTATGCGGTGAAAATAAATTAACGCTACGTAAAACATGGCCTGCCGCCAGCGTGAGTGCCTGACTGAAGCTTTTGAAAAGTGAAATGTAAAATGTGAAGTGGGCAGAGAGAAAAAGGAATAACGAAGAGTGACGAGTGGAAAATGAAATATGGCAAAATCTGTATTGAGCGCTTGAAAAAAGTCAAATGATAAACCTTTTCAAACCTCATTAATAACTAACATGGCTGGGCTTGTAATTAAGCGCATATTTTATGAGTACACGTATGTGCACATACATCCATATATAACATACATAAGTATATCCGCACATGCATGGATGTGCACTAGACCGTACAAAAAAAAAATCCAAAGTAAATTTTTGAGGCAATTACGAAAAAAATCTCCGGATTGTCTCGAGGATAATTTTTTTTGTTCCAAAGTTACTTGATCTCAAGTACTCAGTTCTAGTATTTACACGCCAGATCTCAGTTCTTATGACACTAACGTACCACCCTAATTTCATTTAATTAGCAGGGAAATTGTGGCAACATTCTTTCAACTCATTAAATTAATCTTTTTAAACCAACAAAAATTAAAAGGTAAAAGAAAATTTGGTTAGAAAAACTGTATCAAAAAAGAAGGAAATAGTGCTTAAAAATTAAAAAAGTTTAAAAATATTTTTATTAAAAAAAAGGCAAAAAACAATTTAAAATATTGAATAAGATCTTGTAAATTAATTGAAATAAAAAACATACATATATTTTTTCTTTTTTACACAATAAGTTCTAAAAATTAAAAGAAAATGAAATTAACAAAAAAATAACAAATTAAATTTAAAAATGGAAAAATAAATTTCTAAAAATAAATGAAACTAAAAAAAAATCTTTTTGACCCAATCAAATCAAAAAACTATAAGAAAATTTAGCTAAAAAATTATAAAAAAAATAATAGTTAAAAAAAATTTAATTAAGTATCCCAAAATGAAAGGAAAATATAAAATATTATTTTTAAACCCATAACAATCAAACCATTAAAGAAAATGAAATTAAAAAAAAAAACATAAAAAAGTATCTAAAAATCAAATTAATTTAAAAAATATATATATATCCTCCTTAAAAATAAAAAATCTGAAACGTGAAAGTAAAAAAGGAAAAAAACGTAAATAGTTAAAATAAAAGGAAAGGAAAAAAGTTCCGCTGCTGCAGGACTCGAACTCGGACCTCTCGATTGGCACGCCTGTGCTTTCACCATTCGGCCATTGCGAATGTTGGAGCTAAATGATACTTCTCTTAGAATAGCATTTCACTACGAGTGGTGAATGAGAGAGCGTTTTTCTAGGACTTTTGTGCTAGAACAATAAAAGTCTTTCGAACTGTCTTGCGTTCTGTCTTTCACTTGTCCTACGAAAGATTTTTTAATATCTTAGCCAGAATTTCCAAATTTAATAAACTTTTGCTGAGGAAGTATTTCGTTTCGAATGCAGTTAAGAATTTTTTAGCCGAACATAAGGCGTCGCCTTTTTATATATTTCGTCCTATCTTCGGCATTCACGATCGGATCTTAAAGTATGATATAGCGATGTTTTTGTCTAGCGGATGGAATTGCTCGTACTAAGATACCTAGTAGACCTCAGTTCATATCACCCTGACGTACCACCCTAATATTAGTAAATTAAAGCTCTCCAAAAATCCTTAAACCTTAGAAAAGGAAGTATTTCGAATTTTTTGGACAAACATAAGGGATCGCTACGTACCAACCTAATGTCACTAAATTTATGCTGTCATTAAACTTTTGCTAAAAAAGTGTTTCGACTATTCCAGTAGATCTATGTATGTATATTCAGAAAATAAGATTTTTTTTTCAAAATTGCCTTACAAATATGCTCGAAAGTGTACA